CTCTGAGGACGAAACCGTTTTGTTTTATTTCTCTGAGGACGAAACCGTTTTGTTTTATTTCTCTGAGGACGAACTGAGAAAGTCACCAATTTCTTTATAAACATTGCTATTTAAACAATAACAATAATTAATTGGATAATAATTAATTTTATCTATTCTTTATTTAAATTTAATTCATTTATCTTAAATATTTATTAAGATTCTGTTGCTCTCAATCTTTCAAATATCATCACCAAACAAAAACATTAAGTATTTGCTGGAATAGTTTTATTTATCATTACTTTGGGGCCGTTGACCGGTAATTTTGTAAGCCAAGAATTTTTACACCGAAATGGCTGCCCCAGGGAGCAACCATGTGGGACGAGCATATTCGGCAACGGAAGATTCGAACTCGCGGCTCTCAGATCGCCCCTAAACACCAGGTAGTGCCAGGCCTAATCAATGTTATATTTCTTTATAAACAAAAGATAAAATAACAGCTTCAGGAAAATGACAACTCGTTAATATTTCTTATACCCAGCAAGGTTATAACCATACCTTGTTCCATCCTAGGGTACGTCACTGTGACGTAACAGTTATACGATGTTCGCAATGAATCTAGTACAGGTTTTTGAGAAGTGACGTAAGCTTTTAACGGTGCTTATTCGACCAATCAACAGTTTTGCTTACCTTATCCAATGATATCACTTCACAACTACACTGGAAAATCCCTAATACACGTACATTTATTGGTCAAGAACTGTATTGCACATCACAACGAGTATCTGATGAGGAAGAGTAACCTTAAACGTAGCTGATCCAAATGTGGCGGTAGAAAACACAGAGCAAAAAAAAAAGTATCGTGTTATTTGTATTTAATTAGTAATTTTTTAAATTCTACTTATTAAACTTCAACGTAAATTAAATGTTAAAGTTGATAAAAGTTTGGAGCATTCTTCCTGCGAACAAAGTTTCGTTCTGATTGATGTTAGTCATATAAGTTTACATTTATTTATTTATCCAGCTCATAGTCACGTCTTGAGACGGCGTTGTAGTTTTCATAAAAGGGGTAATTAACAGTGAATCTGCTGTAACTAATAAGCACGATTTGTGACTGTATGAATGACCGAAACATGCCAATGTAAATCTTCTGATTTCCGAGTCGAAGGGTGCATGGAGCTGTGAGAGAAGCGACAGGGTTTACAACTTAAAAAAGGTAATTTTTTTCTTCGAATTTTTCGACTAATTTCCTCAATAGGAAAAAAAGAAAAAGCTTGCTTAGTGACGTAGGTTCTATTTTGTGTACGGAAGCACATTACACTGATCATCAGTAAATCGGCCAACAACGATTTGTGTGTATGCTTAGAAAACGTACTACATGTTTCAACAGAATATTGGTTTACATATATATGTCACAGATTTCTTTCATTTCTCACCAAAGGTAAAATCGAAAAGAGAGTTTGTGACGTAGATGTCTTCTTTAGGACATATAATACGTTCGGCAGAGAAAATAATGTTCATTATTGTTTGTCAATTTACTACTGTAATTCTGAGGGATTATAGCCCTATAACTCGGGTTTCGAAACCTGCAGTGGGCAAAGCCCATCGTATAGTTTTGTGCTTAACAATAAAGAAACTATAATATCTTTCATTGCTTGTTTATAACTGACTAACAGACAGACGTGAAAACTGTTAGTTTTTTATTCAGGTATTCGTATAATATCAACAACTTATGTTTCCGTTTATTTTCTAGGTATAGGAGGCACTTCATATGTATTAAAAGTTACACATTCCACAGTTGATACTAGTAGTGCCACAAGGAGTGTGGGATTTCTCGTGTATCATATCCTTGCTATTGGAGCTCTACCAATGGACGCCTCTAGCGGGAAGTTTGACACTCAAGGGATAAAACGTGGACAATCAGAGGTATCTGAACCGGAGTCCCGTGGATCAAATGAAGCCTATTGCCCCTCCCAGATTCCATTCATTACTGGATACCTTCACCGTGATTCAAAACGTAAGCACACAACTGAAAATAGGCCCACCTCCTCCGATCGTGAGTTAAGTGGAACCAAATTTATGAGAACGTTAGTAGAAACACGCTCAAGAAAAGAGTCCCAGTTGGACGAGAAATGTTTTGCACCGACAAAACGATCAAAAGCGTCATCCGAACCACCTGAAGAAAGATGTTTGACATCAAGTGGAGGCTTACTACCATATTCCTCGTGCCATATGCGAGGACGTTTTTCTGAGCCGAATTACACAAACATTCGTATAAATACATTCACATTCAGTGCTGAGACTTCAAGTGTGTTAAGCGAATACAATCAATGTGACCAGAAGAATCCTGTTACGCCACCTAACCCAAATCATAATCCTTGCCTTTGCCAGGGTCTTTCCCATTTCGAAACAGTAGATAGCCCTACGTGTAAATCACATCCCGTTGTTACTCAAGATTCAGGGTACATCAGTTTGGCTGACACTGGCCATTTTGTTTGTGGTTCTGGATCTACACTGCTTGATGACGTGTTTCTCGAAGAGATGGGTATATTTCAGGACTCGAATAAACTGTCATGCGAACTTCACGTGATAAAAAATGCTAGCCAGAAAACATCAGAGGTGTCAAAAGTTTATTGGTCAAATTCGAACAATCTCATTCGTGACGAGAAATTTGAGAAATACATCACTGGAGAGGATGAAAGTAGTCCCGAGGAACGACACAATCTCGATGTTCACAAGAAATACATCACTGGAGAGGACGAAAGTAGTCCCGAGGAACGACACAATCTCGATGTTCAGTACTCTATAATGGCCGATGAGGATGGAGATAGGTAGGTCTTATATATTTACCAATTGATCAAAGAAGTATGAGAAAGGGGTCGTTTTATAAAAGAAGATTACAAAATAACTTTTTAATAGTTTTGTAAAATATTCAAGGAACAATCTAGTTTAAATATATTCTTATAATATATATCAATTCAGTGTAGTCTAATACAAAGACCCCGTGGTAATTATTGAAAGAATACGTCGAATAATTTGTTGTTTTGATCGGAAACATAAACTGTAGACACTTCCTACAAACTGTAGACACTTCCTACAAATTGTAGACACTTTTTACAAACTGTAGACACTTCCTACAAATTGTAGACACTTCCTACAAATTGTAGACACTTCCTATAAACTGTAGACACTTCCTACAAACTGTAGACACTTCCTACAAATTGTAGACACTTCCTACAAACTGTAGACACTTTTTACAAACTGTAGACACTTCCTACAAATTGTATACACTTCCTATAAACTGTAGACACTTCCTACAAACTGTAGACACTTCCTACACATTTTAGACACTTTCTATAAACTGTAGACACTTCCTACAAACTGTAGACACTTCCTACAAACTGTAGACACTTCCTACTAATTGAGGTCAGTTCATAACGAACATTAAAATATTTATGTTAATGCGTTATAATTAACTTCTGCTCAAAGCTGTCTACCTGTATAGATCAAAACTAAAGATTAACCCGGTTATTAATATAGCGAATTGAACATACTGGTCTAACAATGTCATACAACAAAACGCCTCCTCGCCATAATCTCAATAATATCTCGCAAGGTTCGGCGAGACTTGGGTTAGTCCAAAAATTAACATATTTAGATAAAATAGAAAATAATCCTCACAATAAAATTAAGAAATAATTAAAGTAAACTTATTATATATACTTTAACCAATTATTGTTAATGAAACTAACACCAAAAAAGGAACATATAATGTAACTTAATGATAAAGAATATTGGACATTAAAATATTCGATGTTTTCAGTTCGTGGTGATTATAGTCATTTTGAAGCTTTACTAACCCTTTCGGTTTTGTAACGTCACATTAAATATACATCCGAAGAAAATAAATCGTTCAACGAGTTTGGTTTGCTTGTTTTGAATTTCGCGCAAAGCTACACGAGGACTATGTGCGCTAGCCGTCCCTAATTTAGCAGTGTATTGTTTGTTTTGAATATCGCGCAAAGCTACACGAGGGCTATCTGCGCTAGCCGTCCCTAATTTAGCAGTGTAAGACTACAGGGAAGACTGCTTGTCATCACCACCCACTTCCAATTCTTGGGCTACGCTTTTATCAACGAATAGTGGGATTGACTGTCACATTATAACGCCCCCAGCTGAAAGGGCGAGCATTTACAAAAATTGTTTCTTTTTAAAAAAATATTATTTATATATATTTACTTTTATAAATCAATGTTTATAAACTATACACAAATATAGTCAGTACATTGGGGGGAAGTAGGTCTCTTCGTGTCCTCGATGAGACAGCGGTGATTTCATGGACTTACAACGCTAAAATCTGGGGTTCGAGTTCCCACGGTGGACACAGCAGATAGTCCAATGTGGTTTTCCTCTCAAACAAACAAGTTTCGTTGTAGACCTAATCAGTATTATAGAATAAACTATGATGTTTACATACGATTCTTTTATTGTATTGAGGGAATAAAAGGTGAGAGACGTTTGAAGAGACATGCTTCTCTTTACAGTAAAAAAAACACTGTAAAATAAAGATGGCGTAGTGCAAACTGAAGGGTGAATATGCATAATATAAAAGAAAGACATCCTTTTTCCAGGTGAAATTTTTTTACAACCCTGTCGTTTCGTCTTGTGGTTTCTCCAAGAGGCTATCGCAAGGCAACACGTCGTTTTTTTGCTGTATAAAGATTGTGTTTTTTTTATCAAATCAATACGTTGTCACGGACAACCACGGAAGATGTTTAAAACTTCACGTGACGTAGAAAGTATGACACGTTGAGTATAACATTTTTTGTTTACTTGATCTTGACGTGCAGTTATTTTTGTTATTGTTGCCAGGAGCAACAAATCTGGAGACTAGCAAAATACTCCTTTCTAAAACACATTTCAGATAATATTAGTTAATAATTATGTGTAGGTGTTTCAGTTATTTAGTTGGAGACTAGAGAAAAACTCCTTTCTAAAACACATTTCAGATAATATTAGTTAATAATTATGTGTAGGTGTTTCAGTTATTTAGTTGGAGACTAGAGAAAAACTCCTTTCTAAAACACATTTCAGATAATATTAGTTAAT